TGCGCCTCCTCTTAACAGGATTCATGGTTATCTCGCTGGACTCAAGGTCGAGCGGTGCGAATTGGAACCTACTCGTCCATTTTTCTTGGTCAGCATACTTTACTCTCTCAAGTGCATCTCTCCGCCAAGGTGAAGAAATGAGTAGACTTATGTGCGTGTCCATAAGATAACGAGGAATTCGAAGGAGGACACGAAAGTCGTTTTCCAGTCTGATAACTTGAAATGGGCAAGAAATGCCTAGCTAAGCATTTTCCTCTAATTTACATTTCGCCCCTTATTAAATGAATGCAACTTACAAGCATCAGCATTGCCGCAATAACGAAACCTGCTATAAGGTATCCTCTGTAACTCATACACGTAATAACCACTACAGTTCTTCACTTTAATGATGTTACTCTGCCAACAGCAGCTATCGTTCCCGCTATAACAGACGTTACGTGTCACCACACCTTCGGTTACATTTGGGTGTCCACCATTAAGCCAACCTGGATGTTTAGCACCGCAGCGTTCCATGAGAACACATTTCTCCGGCATCCGATCTCCAGCAGCTCCTTCGAAACGGTACCAACCAGTTACCTGGACCCCATGGCATTTCCGATGGGGCAACGTGTTTCCTTGGGCGCAATTTGCTTCACTTAGGACTGAGTAATTTTTACAACCGTCCACTTAAATAAGAAACATAAAAGGTGGGTTTTAGTCATGAAAAAACTTATTGACCATTACATGTTTTCTGCTTTATTAGCTCATTTATTCAGGCTTACACACAAACACAACCACAAACAACGCACAACAGTTGCGCTGAAAACAACGAGTTAAGGTGGCTTACTACAGTTTTGATGGATTATAACAGCCCAACTTCTAACTCTTTTGAAGAATGTTCCAAGATGTTTTTCCTTTCTCTATTTACTGTTTGCTTAAGTCTTTACCATTCTAGGTGAAACTTGAACAATTTAAACGTAAAATAAAAGGCAAAGTAAAATAAAAATCAGTAAGACAGATTTTTTACAAATTAAGAAAATGTGAAATCAAAAATAGCTCAAAGTCTGTTTTACAGATTTTTGTTTTACTTTGCAGGAATGTTCAATCAGAGCCAATTTCTTATTCCTGAAATTTTGAGGTGGGGTCATACGGGTAGATTTTGAGGAAAACGTGATTAAACCTACTAGTGCCGAGTCTCTCCTTAGGTACTCGGTCGTTCATTTTGGCCATTTTTTGACGTTTAAATTGTTCAAGTTTCACATAGAATGGCAAAAGACTTAGCAAACAGTAAATAGAGAAAGGAAAAACATCTTGGAACATTTTTCAAAAGAGTTAGAAGTTGGACTGTTATAATCCATCAAAACTGTAGTAAGCCACCTCAAGCTTAATTTTTATCTTAGCCATATTATAATTCGCACCGTCAAACCTTCAGAGTTATACAAAATATTCAAGCTCATTATATATCTTACATGCAAATCAGTTATACTTCCCTTTTAAGGCAACTTTATCAGCTTGAGTCCCTAAATTTTCTTTCCACATTTACTGTAATATAAACTGCATTCAGCGGGCACCTCTGTTAAGCGGACGCGGACACAAACATTAAACCATTTTGTTGCACAAAATCTGCAATAAGCGGACACTTCAAGTGCTTTTTACTTCTAAAAGCTCAACTCAGAAACCTTTACAATTGTTTAGCGATGTCGTTTTAAAACTAAGTAGATTATTCCAGATTGATGCATTGACTGGATGAACATTGTGCTATGACAAGAGATTATCATAATTTCTTGGCTATGAGGAAGTGTTTGATCTTACACTGTGTTACACTGTGTTATACTGTGTTACAAAAGGTTAACAATTAACTATTGCACAATATATTTAGAACCTGTTTAGAGTGAACACCCTGTATTAAGGGCACACTAGTGAGTGTTCCAATTAAGGGTGTCTGCTTGATACAGGTTTCACTGTACTGAAGATTGCTTGACAGCCTCTCATCCCATTGTAATTCCCGGATACTAACTAGTTGGTTCCCGTTTCCGACTTTAAATGAAGGTCACAAAATGCTAACATTGCACACAAGCTCACTTCTGCGAAAAACATTCTTAATACATGTTTCACATTAAGTTGTTTCGCGTCCAAGGTCATAAGTCATAATTTGGAAGTTAAGGCTAACTTTGACGCTTAATGATGCCATGGTACATTTTTTACCAGTCTTCTCCAAACATGCAATGATCAAATTCTGTTTTCTGGAGAACGTTAGCCTTTGAACGCAGACGTATTTCCGGTTGTCGCTAGTCGGAAATACGTCTGCGTTCGTATGCTAGGAGAACGTGAACCACGGAGGCGAAGGTCTCCGACTATGACGATTATTAACATTGCTATCGAGCTTAGAAAAGCTCGACAGCGACAGACACACTGAAAAGATTTACAGACGTGAAATTGGTTTTCGAAAGGAAAAGATAGAAAAAGGGCGGTCTCAGATAAAATCAGCAATAAAAGATAAACTAGTTGTGTGCTCCTTAATTTACTGTGAGTACCGTCTGTGAATGGAGATGAAAACAGCTGTGAAAATCGCTATAAAACAGTCTAAACCTGAATCGAGATCCAACCGGAAATCCTGTCTCGAAGATCAGGTATCTTCATCGATAACCACTGTAACTTAGTAAAACAACTCAATATTTGCTGAATGGAAAGTACCTCTATAGATCGCTCTCACAGTCACGCAATAAAATAAATAAATAAATAAATAAATAAATCGAAAACTATTCAGTCAATAAAGTCGAGAAATTGTGATCTGATAAGAAATTAAAAAAAAGTAGAAGCTTCTCCAAGTTTTAGGTCTGTGCGTTTTCCCAAACTGCAGATATTCGTCGAAATGTTTCGCAGAAATTT